ATATTCTTGCTGGTCTTTCTCACCAACGACTGTCACCTACTTCCATCTTTGATCACTCTTTCTCTGGTGGTGCGGGGGATTGAACCTAGGGCTTTGTCTGTGTTAGGCAAGTGCTCTACCACTGAGCCAACATCCCCAGCCCTCAGTGTTTTGAGACAGTCTTGCTGAGTTGCTTACACAGGCCTTGGACTTTGGAGCCTCCTGTCTTTGTCTTCTGACTGCTGTGATGACAAGGGTAGACTGCCATCCTTAGGTTATCTTTGATCTGTGATAGAACAGTTCACTAAAGGATGAGTGAATGAACCTGTTTTGAATACCTCTGGTTCAGAGGCTTTTGGAGTATCTTGCTTTCCTGCCTTTGTGGGAACTGGTGGAAGGACTGACTGTTGATTTTTGGTTTTATATAAATTTTCTGGAAGGGTTTGAGATGATGCTACGGAAGAGCACCGATGTAAAGAAAAAAAGGAACAACTGATAGTTGTTTGTACATGGCAACCTTTGCTGACTTGGTGACTTTTTCACCTGCAGGGTGAGCTGCACCCCCAAGTTGGATGGCTGTTGAGATGGGGAGAAATACATTATGAAAATTGAATTTGGTTGATGATTAAGTTTAAAACACATTTCCCTTCTCAATATCAATGTCATTACCTTGAACATCTTCTTTGAGGACAGTTGCCTTGGATGGGGGACAGCTGAGGCACATGGAGGCTATAGAGTCAATCACCCACTTAACATGCACTAGTCAGGCTTTGTGAAATATCACCCCTGATGCTGGGTGCTTATCTTTTATGGAACAGCTTGCAAATCCTAATTGTTTTAAACTGACTCTGAGGAAAAGAGATTTGAGAATCAATAAATCACAGCTCCCATACATACAAATGTGCCTCATTACAATGAAGAAAATCTGATGGCTCTTTAGGTCAAATAACAAAAGGGGAGGACTTGAGTCTTCTTACAAGACTTGAATGTGGTTTTTCTCTCTCTGGTCCCAGTGTCCAGGACTACATATGGGCATTTGTTTAGATGGCATGAATTGATGAGGGTTCATTGCTTGCCATGATGGTTGTATGTCTTCTTTATAAGGTTCATTAAGGCAGAAACAACAATATTTATATCTTTAAGTATTGATGTGTTGGGAGCAGCTAAATAAACTATTCTAAGAGCCTTGCCATCTGCTATTCAAACACAGCTTTCTCTACAGTTTTATAGACTTTTACCCAAGGTCACCCATCTCAGTCCTCTCTTGAGCCTTAGATATGCTCAGGTCTGAAAAGCAAATAGTATGTTCTTGTCAGAGAGAAGTTGTGTTGCACAGGGAGGTAGGTGGTGGTAAGGTGCAGAAGGGTAATTCAGTTTTTTCTGCTGCTGAAGGAAATGCTTTTCTCACCCTCAGCCAGAGTTTTAGTGACTCAGTTTTCATATGTTGTTCTTCACATTTGACAGTTCTTCTTTTCTGCCATCATGTGTCATGGTGAAGTTTCATTTAATGATGAGAATGGATTTATCATTCAACTGAGTTTTTCTTCCTTTGCATTTTTAAAACCACTATGAAGACTTTGCCTGGGCCCACAAAGATGTTTTTCTACTTGTCTTGATGCTTCTTTGAACATCAGATTGCAGTAGTGACTATGTGTCATTCATGAACCCATAATTTGTTCTCCAAAGAAGCATTTGATTAGAGTAAGCTATGTCTGTACGTATGCATATTTTCACACAGTACTTTGATATGTGTGTTCATCTGGCATTGGGATAGTAAGTCAGTTTTTAAAAATAACTGTCCTTCAGCAAAAGTACAATTTGAATATACAGCATGAAGAAGTTTCTTTTAGCTCATAGCCCAGGATAAGTGGTTCTGTGGCTGAAGTGAGATGTAGAAACAGCCACCGTGAACTTGGTCCTTTTGCTCATCCCTTGCTCTGACCTAGGAAGTTTCGAGGATCTAGGAAGTGAGGTCAGGAAGTTGTCAAGCAGGAAAAGGAAGCAGGTACCAAAGAAAAGAGTCTTGAGGATGTAGAATATTGAACTCTTTTTCCATGTTGTCATCTTGTTAGTCTGCTGTCTTTGAAGGTGATCTTCATATTTCTTTATTAAGTATATGTAAACAGAGCTTCCTGTCCTGACTGTCCACTCCTCATCCCGGCAGCTGCTTCCAAATTACCACACAGAGACTTAATATAATTTATAACTGCTCGGCCGATAGCTTAGGCTTATTAACTAGCTCTTACATTGAAATTAAACCATATTCCTTATTTATGCTCTGCCACGAAGCCTTAACTTTTCTAAATACAGCGTGCCCATCTCTCTCTCTTTGTGCTTGCGGGCGACTCTCCTCTGACTTTGCCTTTCTCCTTTCATCATCCTTAGTTGGTCACCTCGCTTATACTTCTTGCCTGGCTACCGACCGATTTTATTAAACCAGTTTGAGTGACAAATCTTTACAGTGTATAAGAGGATTATTCCACAGCAAGTATATATTTGTATTTCCTTCTGATTATTTATTAACATAAATTCATTATTGAGAATTCATAGAATATAGGAGAATAAAAGTTTAGAAGAATACAAATTGGGAATAAACTTTCAAGGGTAAATATACTTTGGGAGAGTAATTTATCCCCTCATTATCCCTCTCAATCCTGTGCCTCTAAATTTACATTCTGGTAATTTTGTGTACATACCCAGAAAACATTATGGTTTATTACAAAACTGGAACTCAAACTTTTTACCCTTGCTTTTCATCAATTGTTCTTTGTAACCAGAATCTTTCTTTACTCCTCTTTCTTTCTTTCTTTCTTTCTTTCTTTCTTTCTTTCTTTCTTTCTTTCTTCCTTCCTTCCTTCCTTCCTTCCTTCCTTTGTTTCTTTCTTTATCATTATCATTTTTTGTTTTTACATCCCAATCAAATTTTTCCCTTCGTTTCCTCTTCCCAGTCTCCCCTGCCCCCAGTCCATGCCTTCTCTATGGTTTCTCTTCAAATTCCGGTGGGCCTCCTGTGATACCAGCCAGCCAGGATGTATCAAGTTGCAGTGAGACTAGACACCTCTTCTTATATTAAGGCTGGATAAGGCAATCTGTTAGGGCGAATGGGTCCCAAAAGCAGGCATCAGAGTCTGAGACAGCCCTTGCTCTCCTCACCCATCGGAGTCTCACATGAAGACCAAGTCATACAACTGTGACTTATATGCAGAGGGTATAGGTCAGCCCCATGCAGGCTCCCTGGTTGTTCGTTCAGTCTCTGTGAGCCACTATGAACCTAGGTTAGTTGGGAACCAGGATTCCTAATGGCTATTTACTGTCCCATTTTAGAATCCCATTGTATAGTAATGGCTGTCTTATTGGATGCTCTGTTTGAAACTCACGTCGTTTTCATTTTCTCTTTAACACAACTTCATAGGAAATATCTTTATATGCAAATTTTCAGTCGAGTTTTGTTTAGGTGTCATTTTTGGATGTTCAGTTACTAGGTCAAAGGTACAAACAGTTCTTGGCAGATAGTTCCTGGTAACAGCAAGGCAGGTTGTAGCAATTTTCACATTCCCATTAGAAGAGTTCAGGAGTGCTTTCTCCTGAAACCCAGCATCCACAGACATTATTATTTAATGGAAACAGTGGACAGGAAGGCATCCTCTTGGTGTAATTTAAATTTCTTAGACTTTTTTGTTCCTTCTTCATGTATTTGTCAGCATAAAATGACTCCATCTCTTACTCATTATCTAGTTTCACTGGGGAGAAAGGTTTTTGGAGTAAATTTTTTTTTTTTAATGCCAGTGATCTTAATGTGTAGCACACTTAAAAACTGTATCTAAACTGTAGCATAAAATAATATATTGTTAATGATGAATAAGAAATGTATAATTGCCATTGCTTTGTGGTTTCCTTTTTTGGGTCTCAGAACTGTTTTCATGGTCTGTATACATTCACCCTAGCTTTGAAGAAATGTTACTGAAATAAAAGTACATCATTCCCATCCATTCCCTATTCCCTTTCCTTCTTGTAGCTCCTTCCATGCCTGCTCACTCCATTCCCTCTCAAATTCATGGCTTCTTCCTCTTTGCTATTGTTACATACACACAGAGACATGTACAGACTCACAAAGACACACATACACATACACACACACACACACACACACACACACCCACAACCTACTGAGTCCATTCAGTGTTGCTTGCATGTTCATGATTCCAGTGCCAACCACTTGGTATTGGATGACCAATTAGGAGGCTCCTCCCTGGGGCATGACTGTTTTTCCTAGTCTCAGCGTCCCTTGGATGCCTGTAGTTTTTTTTTGTCCGAGTTGGGACCCATGAGATTTCCTTTGTCCAAGTTAGCATGTCTAACCTTGCTTTTGACATATGTGCATACCACTTGCCAACTTTAGGGGCCAGGGTTTTCTTTCTTCCCCATCAACTCCATGCCTAGAGAGTGTTTTTGGGCCCATGATATATTAGTGTCTTGACAGCTTGTTTGGAGGTTCTAGCAGGGGAGCACAGCTACTCCTATATCCTTGACTGAAGACTGTTTCTCTATTCGGGGAAGGTTGTCTTCTTTGACCGAGGGCACAGCTTTGGGAGGGAGGCACATAGAGCAGTGAGGGAGGAAGGGGACACCCACCTAGCCAGCCAGATCAGCCAAATCAACCCTGTCGATCATTGGGGTGACAGATGTTGCAGCCAGATGGCCCTCACAATCAGATTAGTGTCTTTTGGTAAGACTGTATCATTGGCACAATGGCTACTTTTATGTTATAGCATGAGAGTTAGGCCTCTACTCAAGTGTGCTATGGGAGTCAAACTTTTTTATTGTTAGTAATAGTGAAAGGAAGTGGCAAGTTTTTTTATCAACAATGGAAGTAATCTATTTATATAATTCTATTCTTCTTTTCAATATTTGTGAAATATAGGTAATAGAAGTTATGTAGATGGTTGCCAAATGCTCATGTGCTTTAGAAAACCCATGCAATTTCTCAGTACTTATCTCCTTAAATATTGGTCCCTCTGCAGGAGTTCCACCAGATGCAGGAGTCTGAACAACTCTCATTGCTCAAAGTAATTGAAATTAATAGCAGAAGACTTAGTGTGCACCCGGGAAGCTCATGCCAGAAAGTGATTCCATCCTATTGAAAGTATGTAATCCTAGCTGGGGTAAGTGATAGACCTTTTCCTTCTGTGGTATGCCAGGGTAAGAGGTAATTTAATGTTCTCTTAATTTTATCTAATTCTTTTTGATTTTTTGTTACATAGTTAAATTTACATATTCTGCTTGGTCACTTGTTAACATGTATTAGTCATAACATGTGCTATAGAAGACTTTGAGAAACCTCTGCCAGTGTTAAAAGTATAAATGCATCGTGTAGGGTTCCCATATGAAATCATGTTGTTTGTTTTCCTTGGAGGGGTCAGGAAGATGAGTTAAGAGAGTCCTGAGATTTTATTTACAATATAATGTTCTAAATGTTTTATTTTAAAAGTTACAAGCACATTACAGTGTTATTTATCATTACTGATAATTAGCCCTAGGGGTGTGTATATGCAGTCTTTATATTATTCTCTGTACTAGTTATTTTAACCATTTTCCCAAATAGTGAAAAAGAACCATAGCATTTGGGCTTCAGGTACTCTTAGTCAAGTGGAAGCTCAAATTGTCTATTTATTTAAAGAGTCTGCTATGTAATGATGTCCAAGGGAATTACCTATAAACAATGATTAACACTGTTGGTACTCTTAAAAGAATCAAATTGTCCTTAAGGCAGCTACTTCATTTCCTGTTCCCACCAAACACTATAATTGTAAGCAGGCTTCCTCTTTCATTGTCACCTTACTTTGTCCCATGATTTCCCAACTGACATACAAGGTGATAAGAGATCCCAGAGATAATTATTCTTTTCCTCATTTATCAAGGACAGGGAAAAAAAAACAAAAAACAAAAAACCAGTCAACAAAAGGTCTCCCTTACGTAAAGACCAATGGTTTGATTTGTTTCCAGGGTTCTTTATGGTTTTCTCCTGAGTCTTTTTAAGGTTTCATGCTACTGTTTTACATTTCTGCTTTTCCTTGATATTTTTTATCCTGACAAATAGGGAGTTGAAGAAACTATAGACACATATATATGTCACAGTCTGTTCTGCTACTTTGCGTATCAATTGTTATTGACAGTTAAGATTAATCACTCATACTATGTAACAGACAGTGGCTACAGTGGAGGAACCCAACTATGAAGATGGAGAAGGCTAGTGAATCCTAGCTTTCCTACTTGTAGCCACTGTATCGAGTTGGGCTTATTCCTTAACTCAGCCTCAATGTTCTCTACAAATTAGGGGATAGTTGTAGTTAATACAGTTTTTTACTATTATTAGTTACTTTTTTTAGACTGAATAATCTTTTATTTAACATGCACTAGCATTTACATGAAATTTAAGTTACATGTGATACAGTCTTTGAACATAGTCATTTAAACAGACTTGGTGTCTATAGTTTTACTACAAAAAGTTAAAAAAAATGATGTAACAATCTACTTCATTTTTTCCATTATTTTCTTTGTACAAAATGGGATCATGCTCTTTTAACTTCGAAATATTTTGCTAAGTGCAAATATTGGATTCTCTCCTGGTTTAAGGCATATACACTGAGAGCAGTTAGGAATTTTGTCAGAACAGGAAGAATCCTGGGCCTCACAGTTTCGGGTGGCAGCTGCCTCTGGGTTCCCTGTTTGTCCACCTATTGCCCCTCTAGTCCTGCTGGCACACAGGTTGTGGGGGGCACACTAAGACAAATCTCTTTGATGGAGACAGGGACTAGCAGTCTTACCTGCCTGCAGCCACAGACAGACTGTACTTCCCAGGCCATGATCCTGACTTTACCTCCCTGAAGGCCAAGTTCTGGGCAGCACCTGTTTATTATTAGTTATTAATTATTAACTAATAATCAATTATTAATTAATTATTAACTAGTGCTGCTGGCTCTACTACAAACCTAGATCCCCAGGCCCAGTAGTACTCATTTTATTTATTATTCTCCTTTCTCTCTTTCTTTCTTTTCTTTTCTTTTCTTTTCTTTTTTTTTTTTTGAGACAGGATTTCTCTTTGTAGCTTTGTAACCCAGACTGGCCTTGAACTCACAGAGATCTTCCTGCCTCTGCCTCCCGAGTGCTGGGATTAAAGGCGTGCACCACCACTACCCAAGTACTCATAAAGTTGTTGTGAGAATCAAATTGGGTTGTCTATGTAAACACCCACACGAGTACCTCATATAGTAGCTGACTCCTGGAAAATGCATGTTCTTTCTTCATCTACTGCCAGAGAATGATGGGAAGTACTTGGAAGAGTAAAAGGGGGCATTGAAGAGTCTCATGAGAGAGAGAGATGCAGATGTGGATTCCCAAAGTTTTCAAGGCAAAGGAATTTCAAAGATCTTATGTTTGTCACTTTTCTGTGACAGATACACAGATACCTCACAGAAGCAGCTTAAGGGAGGAAGTTGCTTTTTTTTCCTTTTGGCCGACAGTTTCACAGAGTCAGTCCATGCTTCCATGCTTGCTGGTCCAGAACATCACGGTGGCAGACACTTCGGTTGATAATCTCCTTCATTTCTTAGTGGACAGGCAGCAGAAAAAGAGGAAATACAGGAAGAGGCCATACTACAGGCAGCCTTAAAGGCATTCTCTATTCACCCATTTCCTCCAACTGTGTCTTCCCTCTTACCCTTTACCACATCCCAACAATGTCATTATATTATAAGTCTATTAAGAAATTAATCCATAATCTTATTGTTTCTGGAAATAATGTCCCAGGCACACCCAGAACAAATCTGATGCCCCAAGTATTTATTAAAGTTATCAAATTTATACTTAGAATTAACTCTCATGGATATCTTTGTATGAACTTCTTTTTTTTTTTTTTTTGTGTGTGTGTGTGTGTGTGTGTGTGTGTGTGTGTGTGTCTTAAACAGTTGTGATTGGAGAAAGGCAAAGCCAAACAGTTGCTTCAGTATTAGTTTCTTGTTCGTTGTTTCTGTTGTGGGAGGGAGTCCATCATGGGCACCTTTGTGCTTATATTTAGGAGGCAAAGACCCAAGAAGTTGGTGTTGGTGGAAGCTGAGGGGCATGGGTATGTGAGGGCTGCATGGTTTGCAGGGTGTTCAGTAGCTCTCTGTCTCAGTTTGTGTTAAGAGCTTGGATATTTCATGGATTCTTTTTCTGAAATAGTGAAGATTGGCTGTAATTTAATTTTGAAAAAAAAACCTGAATTCACAGCAAGGGCCCTTTATCTTCTCTAGAGATACGATTATGCATTTCAATTTGCAATAAAAATAAAGGACCAAAAGACCCAGAATCTTTTGTCAGGAGAGAAAAATGTGATCACACTGTACATAATAAGCCAGAAAAAAATGTCTGTGTAGATTTTAGAAGTATTATAGCAGTTTATATTGAAGACTGAGTTAACCTTCCATTGAACAGATGATGAAATCATTGCAATACTACTCAATAAGCTCTTGCATTTGATCAACTTAGTTTTCTTCTGGTGCTGCTTTGTCCTAAACGCATTTGGTTCCTCCAACTTGTATTAATAATTTTTCTGAAATGAGATTTTCTTGCATAAATAATTTTTTCATATGAATCAAATAGACAGTTGAGGTAAAGGTGGAGGAAAGTGTGTCTAGAGAATTTCCCATCGCTGAAAGTACATTCTGGAAGGTAGGCTTTCTATTTTGGTGGAGATGTTGAAGCCAGCATCTTCTTATAAATGCATTATTGTAAAATTTGCTTCTGCATCACATCCTGTGCTTAATTTTGCAATTTTAAATTAGGCTTTAGAAGAGTTTTCATTCTTACACACACGGAGTTTTATTATAGTTCCTGCCGGCTATTTGTAGTATTTTTATGTTCTGAGGTAATTCTTATAGCTTAGACATTGGACTACTATTAAAAACTGAAGGTTTTTTCTTTTTGCTTGTGTGTGGGTGCACCTGTGTGTTTGTGCACACAGAGGACAGAGTTCGACATCCCTTGATCCCATGTTTTCTTCAGTTGCTCTGTCCACCTTATATATTGAGGTAGGGTCTCTTCAACCCAGAGCTTGTGGATTTGGCTAGATTAGCTAGCTAACTTGTTCTGGGAAGTCCCTGTTCTGCAACCCCCCCACCCCAAGCATTTATATCAATGGTGGAGGTCAAAATTGAGTCACCTCCTTGGCTCTGTAGATCTTCAGAGAATATTTTTTATTTTTTCATGGATAGAGTTGATGACAGTGTTGTGAAACATTGTATATGAAAATACTTTTAATCCAGGCAGCAGATCACAAATCTTAGGAAGTGGTACTCAGAGTTGATAACTCACTGCAACCATGTGGGAGCAGTTTTCTCAGAGCAGAGCAAACCAGGGAAACAGAATCACAGGGAAGTGATTTTCTATGTTTTCTTGTGTGTCTGTTTGCAGAAAGACTAATGTAATAAATACTTAAAAATACCAGGAAGTAAGTAGTGGGTTCCTTACTTCTGCATGTATTACTTGATTGACACTGACTTGGGTTTATTCTGAAGGATTCGTATACATCAATGGCAGGATCATCCAGCGATTCCGACCACTTCCGTTATAGTGACCGATTTAGTCGACGGGCAGCCAGGACAATTCAGAGGAATATTGGAAGTTATCCTTCAATAGATGTCACTGCAAAGGTCAACACTATAACCAGTACTTTACAGGTTAGTATATGTGCTGCCAAAGTGAGCACCATTTGATAGATTTTTAGTAGTCTGCGTAATGGTAATGGTTACAGTCAGTATGACCTGAGCTTAGGTGATGCCTTAAAACAACCAAGTGTTTTTTTTTTTTTTTTTCTTTTTATCTCACAGCTCTGTAGGTCAGAAAGAAAATTCTGTTCCTTTGCTCTTTGTAGCTGCTCATGTACCTTGTCTTGGGCCTCTCTTCATCTCCACAGCCAGGTGTCAGGGGGCTTCTTCCATCTGTCACATCTCTTTGCTTCACTATGTCCCCTCTTCTGCCTTCCTTCTCCATTTTTGCTGCTGATTGTTTTTCTGGTATACTAGGGTTCCAACCGAGGCCTTGCGCATGGTATGCAAGTGCTCCACCACTGAGCCACACTGCCACCCACCCTTCCTCTGTTAAGGACACTTGTGATTTCATCTTGTCCTCTCAGTAATTCAGGAGAAACCCCACTCTAGGTGTTAAGTCACATCTACACAATCCCCTTTGACACATAAGTTTCATAGGCATTTTTCTAGCAAGTAGGACTCAGAAATTGATGGAGGACCATTAGTCTGGTTCCCATGGTGATGCTACCTGAACTATGTGATAGATTGTTGAGAATGTCTTAGGATGAAACTATATTTGGAAGTAAAATGTTGGGGGAGTGAAAGTAGTGGCTAGCACAGATGTTTAGCTTCCTGTGCCCTTGTGCTCGTTAGAGTTTTGGGGAAGCAGCTTATCAGTGGATGACTGATAAGTATAGAGACACCATTTTGGTTTGGAAGGTAATTTCTGATAGTGTTTGGAAATTTGAGTGGGGGCAGTATGATCTTTTCCATATGAAGAGCTTGGAAAGGGCATAAGATGGGTAGTGCGGGGAAACAAACCTAGAAATGGAATTATTTTCAGCTGATAAATCCCTTGCTTTTTGCCTTAGTCCATATAAATAGGAAATTTGGCTTGAATTGCTTTGGATTAGTATGCTTGACTGGGAAAGAGTAATTGTTGGGGAACTAACAATTTTACATAGGAGTAACAACACCTGTCCTTTGTAAACTTATTTAAGCTAACTTACAATGGAATTTTAGAGTTGGAATCTTTCTCCCTTCCTGCCAAAGAGACACATTAGTAAGTAGGCATATTCAAAAGAGCTTACTCTTTCAATCTCTTATGTAAAACCAAGTACATTTAAGTAGAAACTTTCTGTTTAGGTTAGGAATAAATTTATTGTTTATTAAAAGATTAAAGGGCACATTATTTTTTCTTAATCAAGTTCTGTAGTGAAGAATTAACTGGAGTACAGGAGACCTGACTTTTCTTTACATACCTGAGCACATTTGCAATTCAGGATCCTTTCTGCCCTTTTTCTTTTTCCTCCTCCCTCCCTTCTTAAACTATTTTCTTACACTTACACTATGTTCTACGGCATAGCTCATCCTGGCCTTCAGCTTGCTGTGCTCTTAGCCCACCCTGCTAACTTGATGCTCTGGATTGCTTTGCTGTAAGAACAGTGTGAAGACAAAGTGCACACATTTCTGAAGAGGACTCTTCTCAATTTGTGGTTTTGCCATAGAGAGCAGAAAGGGGATGGGATAGGGGGTCAGTGGGGGGCAGGGAAAGAGGGGAGGGAAAGGGAACTGGGATTGACATGTCAATGAAGCTTGTTTCTAATTTAAATAAAAAAAGGAAAAAATTGTGGTTTTGTTGCCAATTTAGTAGGTGACCTTGATAAGGACTTGTAAATTAAATACTTCAGATTTTACATAAATAAATTGTGGGTGGATTTGGGATTCTCTCTCAGTGTTGTATCGATTTGATATGCATGAACTATATTGATATCCAAGTCATCTGTCATAAATTGTACTTTTTACTGCAAAGTGTCTTTTACAAAATGTCAATTTACGTTCTTAGACAATACTAAAATGGTGTGGGATGACTGAGTATTTTCTTTCTCAAGGACATCAGTGGGAACCTGCGACAAGTGGATGCGATGCTTGGGCGATATCGAGACTATAGCATCGGACAGGCAGGTGCTATCGGGCAGGTGAGGGCGTTTCAGTTTGCACTGTTTACTTACCTTATGGAAATGCATATCTAGGGGACTGGGAATCCAAGTAAGACAAGTAGATAGTGGTGTGAATTAGTATACCTTTTAATCTGCCTTACTGTTTTCAGTTTAAATTTAGTAAACGAACTCAGATTTCCAACTTGGATTCAACTTAGCTGGAAAGATTTAGTCATAGACGGGAGAACTCAAGACAGAACTAAATAGAGTAGCTAAAGTTGGGCCGCAAATACTCCCAAGGGGATAGGAATTTTGACTATGGTTTGTTTTTAAATTACACTTTTGTTACCATTGTTGTTGTTGTTTTTTTAAAGATTTTGTTTATTTATTATGTATACAACATTCTGCTTCCATGTATATCTGCACACCAGAAGAGGGCACCAGATCTCATAACGGATGGTTGTGAGCCACCCTGTGGTTGCTGGGAATTGAACTCAGGACCTCTGGAAGAGCAGTCAGTGCTCTTAACCTCTGACCCATCTCTCCAGCCCCACCATTGTTGTTTTTAAAGATTTAATTATATTTAGTATTTTGTCTGTATGTTTGTACGTGCAGGACCTGGGAAGGCTAGAAGAGGGCATCAGATCACCTGGAGCTAGAGTTACAGCCAGATATGAGCCACCTGATGTGGGTGCTGGGAACTGAACTTAAGTTCTTCTGTAAGAGCATCAAGTGCTCTTAACCACAGAGCCATGTCTCCAGCCCTATGTTCATTATTTTAGAAAGTAAAATTTTCAAAGCCCCTGTAAGTTCTATTCTGTAGAGGTAACACTTTTGATAATTTCCTGTTTATCATCCCAAATACTTTGTATGTTTTTATGGTGCATGCGCCTCATTGCTTTAAAAAGTGGAGCAGTGCAGCATGGGCGCGTGATTTTTGTTCTTCTGCTGTCCATACAACTTGGTGTGGGGGGGACCCTTGTGGTGGTTAGGTTTAGTTGTCAACTAGATACAACTAGAGTCACCCAGGAAGAGAATCTCAATGTGCAGTTGACTAGATCAGGTCTTATGGTAGGCAAACGTGTGGGATTGACTAGATCAGGTCAGACTGTAGGCATACCTGTGTGATTGACTAGGTTAGACTGTAGGGAGTACCTGTGGGATTGACTAGATCAGGTCAGACTGTAAGGGTGCCTGTGACAGACTTTCTTAATTGCTTTAATTGATGTGGAAAGATCTAGCCCACTATGTGCAGCACCAGTTTACGGACTTGGGTTCCTGGACTATAAAAGAGAGGGGAAAGCAGCTGAGTTCAAGCCAGCAAATGAATCCACACCCATTTCTCGATGCTCTTGATTGCGGTTGTGATGTGACTGGCTGCTTCAAACTCCTGTGGCTTCTTTAACATCCATGCAATGATAGCCGATGACTTGGGTTGTTAGCTGAAGTAAACCCTTTCTACCCAAATTTAGCTGAAGTAAACCCTTTTTTCCCAAATTTTTTTTTTTTTTTTTTTTTTTTTGGGAGGGAGGATATTTTATTAAGCGTCAGAAATGAAACTAATATAACCTCCCTTTGAACAGTTGAATATTATTCTGTAGTATGGATGTGACAAGGTTTTCCTTTAATATGAAGAAGTATAGTACTGACTGTTATTGTGTTTTTCTGTCTCTATGGTGTGTGTGTGTGTGTGTGTGTGTGTGTGTGTGTGTGTGTGTGTGTGTGTGTGTATGTGTGTGTGTGTATGTATTTATGTATTCCTGTCAGAATTCTTGAAATAAGATTGACGGGTTAAAGCATATTTATACTAAGGGCTTTTCTAGATATCTCAAAACTTGCCATTCAAAGATATGCCAGTTCATGTTTAGTTCAGATGTGGTGTAAGAAGGAAAGATACTTTAGAATTTAAGAATAAAGTTAGCATTTTTATTAATGTTTTGCTAGATTCTCTGTGCTTTTTGAGGGAGAAGGCATGTAAGATAAAAGAGATGTTTACATTTTACATTGTGATTAAGCTTAGTGAAGGAAATCAGATAGCCAATTAGCCTATGTACCCTAACCCTAACCTGTTAAGTTCCTGTGAATTTGCTTGCTCACCTTTAGAAACCTAGTTAAACATATTTCTTCTTTTTGAAGGAAGGGCTAGTACACGTTGTAACAAGAAGGATTTACTTTTATACAGTAATGGTGTATGTATGTATGTATGTATGCACTGATGTGTGTGTGTTGTATCAATTGTTCCATAATTCCTAAGCTGTAATTGATGACTTGCTTTTATCTTACAAAGCAGAACTGTAGTTGTTATTATTTGTTGTGATTGGAAACTAATTGAGCACAAGGAAACACATCTTCTCTGGTAAAAGTTTGTACTACTTTCATTAGGAAACAAATATGGACATTTTTGCACCTACAGGATTTTTATGATTTATGATGTATTTGAAAGATGGAGCTTTAGACTTCATGTGTGTAGGTAGCTTGCAAGCTGTTTTAGGTTAATTACTTTATTAATAATAGAATTTTCTGCTTTTTAATTTATTTGTGAAAAGTTGGAACATTATTATTCAGTAGAAAAAAAAGTCTTACTTTGTCACACTAATAATTCTTCCTCATGGTAGCAGCTGGAGGTGAACACTGCTGAACTCTCTGAAGTGACTAGTTAAACCAACAGGTGTTTTGTTTCCAGCCACTCTGAGAAAAAAGACTTATGAGACCAAGAGTCTTTTTACCTATGGTTCTTCCTTAGCCTGGTCTGGTTCTCCCTCTCTGGCTTCCTTAAATTCTTGTTCTGTTCTGACAATGGGCTGTTATGGAGTTTTCATTCTGACATATCCATGGATGATGGCACTAATTGCTATGAGGTCTAACTACTCAGGGTAGCAGCGATTTCTTCTACTACTTAGAAATTATTGGGAGAGGGAAGACAGGCAGCTGCGAGTTTCTCAGGAATGATTCTGATGGCTTCTTATTAACAGCTGATGTAATATCAGATGCTATAAGTTATGTGTGTACTATGGCACCACATGATTTTATCTGGGTCTTTTTATTTATAATCTTCAAGTCCTCAAAGTACCTGGTAAAATTGTCCATCTTTAAAAAAAGCCCAATTATTACGTTGTGTGTGCAGATGTATGTAACTTGGTATGTGTGAGGGTAAACGTGTGTGTGTGTGTGTGTGTGTGTGTGTGTGTGTAGGTCAGAGGTCATCCTTTAATGTTGTTTCTCAGAAGCTGTCTGTGTTTTTGAGACAAGGTCTCTCGCTGGGACCTGGGGCTCATAGATTATGCTTGGCTGGCTGGCCAGGGATTTACCTGTCTCCATCTCTCCAGGTTGAAGTTACAGTTATGGTAATTCCACCATACCTTGCTTTTTTATGTGGGTGCTGGGTATTGGACTTAGGTTCTGATGCTTGCATGGCAAGCATTTTAGCAGCCAAGCTGCTTCACCATTCTCCCTGCTCCTGTCTTTTTTTAAAATTACATTTAACTGGGGCTAGAATGATGGTACTTGCTGTGCTTAAAGAACACCTGAGTTCAGTTCTCAGCACACACATGTCAGCTCAAAACCATCTGTAATTGCAGGGGACCAGATGCCCTCTTCTGGCCTTAGTGGGCACTAGGCAAAACACTCATACCCATAAAATAAAAATAAATAAATCTTTAAAAATAAGTACATTTTATTTATTCATTTGTGTGTGTGTGTGTGTGTGTGTGTGTGTGTGTGTGTGTGTGTGTACACATGTACATGTACACCCTAATATGTGTGTTGAAGTCAGGACAACTTGCAGGAATATATTTTTCCTTTAACTGTGGGGGTTCCAAGGATAGATCTGGGTTATCAGGCTGAGCAAGCTCACCACCAGGATAGAATGAGAGTGAGATGGAACCCATACAGAATTGTAGGAGTTGGGAAGGAGTCTGGAACTGAAGCTGGGATCTAGGTACCTAGAAATTGGTGGTTCTTGTCACCGCTTCAGCAATGGAGTAGAGTTGGAGTCAATGGTTGTTTTCTGAGACAGGGTTTCTCTGTGTAGCCCTGGCTGCCCTAGAACTTGCTCTGTAGACCATGCTAGCCTCAAACTCATAGAGATCCTCCTGTCTCTGCCTCCCAAGTACTGGGATTAAAGGTATGTGCCATCACTGTCCACATGTTTTCATTTTTAAGATAAGAGAAATGGGTCACAGCATTGCCATTGACTTGCTTATGGTCTTTTAAGTGACATGGTCAATGGTAGGTTCATTTTAGAACCTAGTGTCAGGATTCAGTTACTCTATTGAGTTGGCCTGATTACTCGAACTCTCCCAATGGTGTGACTTTAAAGATTTATTTTTCTGTATGTGCATGTGTCTGTGTCCATTGCTGAAGATGGAGAATGTGTGAGATACCCTGGAGCTGGAGTTACAGGTGGTTGTGAGCTATCCAACATGGGTTCTGGGAGGTGAACTCAAGTTCTCTGTAAAAGCTGCCTGTGCTTTTACTTTGAGGCATCTCTCTGTGCCATGGCTTTATATTTCTGAAAGTTAGGACCTTAAATTGAATGTTTGGAGGGCTATATGATCACCCATTGAGGAACTAGATTTTGGAGACTACTTGTCCAGTGTCATAAAGTCATTGAATCACAGCTGGCACAAGTCCAGAATGAGAGTGAGATGGAACCCATATAGAATTTCTGGAGTTGTGAAGGAGTCTGGAACTGAGCTAGGATCTAGGTACCTAGAAATCAGTGGTTCTCTTCAATAATTGTTTTGTGTCCAGTCTTACGTGTCTGGGGTCTCTGACAGAATGTTTAAAAGAATTCCTTTTCTTTTCCTTAAAATGTGTTGGCTGGCCTCGTTATCTTTTTCTACAAACGTGAGTTAATCATTTCATTCTACTTTGCGAGCCATTAAATAAGGTACACATCTCTTTCTGGCAATAGGAAGAGAGTTTGGTAAGGTAGTGATGGTTATTGTTATAAGCCAGACCTTAGTATTTGTTCTTCAAATACTTATGTTTATTAGTTTTTCTACTTCCTAACATTACTCAGTTCCAAATCCCTCTGATAGCCATTGTTTTTTCTTTCTGGGAAGTCAGATATTTCAGAAACTACTTCCAGATGTGTCTGTTGTGCTTAGGAGTCTCTTAAGAAGAATAACTCTTCATCATCTTCCTCAGTTAAAAGAAGATTTGGAGCAGTCAATAAGCCAACTGCGGAGTCAGCGCTTACAGAGAAACTCAGGAGGGAGAAGCACTTCTGTTACCACCCTGAGTGCAAGTGATCTCGATGGTGGAGTTGGGACAGGTAAACCCCTCATATGTTCTAAAAGCCCTTATTCCTTTTAAATTTCAAAAAAATTTCTGAAGTACATACTGAAAGCATTTAAACTTTGGAGAAATACAGTATATGCACACAATTATAGATCTTATAGATTATATACTACACATCCACAACACATGCAATTATTGGACAACTCATTTTTTAAAGGGTCTTTGATGGTCCTGGTTTGTTAGTTTTTTCTTTTTTTCCCTTTGGAGCTTTACTCAACAAAGCCTGGATTTTAATTGCTGCCCAAGCTTCAGAACAAATGCATAAATAAACTTTATGTTTTCTTTCTAATCTTTTCCTGGCACAGTAGTTTTAAAAATTTCTGATTATCAATTATGCTGTAACTCATGCCAAAAGCAGGTGAATTTTAGCCTTGGTTTTCAGATAGATGCCAATGATTGTGTTAAAAGTTATGAAATACTTATGTTTGCCTATAATTAATCTCATATATCCCTGTAGTGCTAGAATCACACAGAACCATCTGCAGTGATGGGAGTGATTTAGTTGGATGAACATTGGTACCTTGAGTTGTGAATACTATTACTCATAATAGTGATTAAAGTTGGGCACTATTAATTTTTATGTAGTCTGTTTTTATTGATTGTTATGTACTGTTTTGGCTTTAGATTAATTGATCTGACATTTGCAAGATTTGATCTTATTAGTGGGATGTTGTATTTTAGGGAAGAATAAAGATTTTCATTATCTAGTAATTTTTGTGTAGAAGAATATGTGTTGTTGCTTTGGACAGTGTTAAAAGTTGGACCTTTTGGCAAGCATGTTTTGTTTTCAGGCTAAGTTTGTTGTTCATTTTATCTACTTTAAGAGCGATGTTGTTGTGATCTCTACGGCCATGGTTACTTGGGAAGTCTAGGCTAAGAGATCTCTATGTCTGGTCTGCAGGTAGCAAGTGAAATTTTAGACTGTTCTCCTCCAGTGTTCTAATGCCCCTTTCTTCTTCTTTGCATTGGAAAGAGAGCCTCCACTTTACACCTACCTCACCTCTGAAGGACTATGACCCACAGGGTATTAAACGAAACAGGTCCAGAATTGGTGCTCAGTTTGTTCGGGAGACAGACGACATGGCCCAGGTACTTTGTAACATTGTGTAGTTTAATCTGCCACATCTTCTATTTGTACATAAATGAGTGACACTTGAACTTTATATCTTAGCTAAGAATTTGATCATCAATAATTTTGCATTGAGTTTTTTCTTTTAAGCCAAATACATTTTATATTCCATGTACAAACACTTCTTTATTCTTTAAGATTGAGAGGAGTGCACAATGCAGAAAAGTCCAACACATCCTTCCTTCACTCCTCATCTTTAGCAGCTGCTCCCACCAGGAATACCATGTCTTACAATTCACAAATGTATTTTCAGTGTACAAATCTGTACTATCTATTTTGGATTTTGTTGTGGAGAATTAAATTTCAAAGATTTCAAAAAGAGAGTTCTCAAAAGAAAATGAAAAGAGATAGAAATGGCTAAGAAATATTTTAAAAGGTTCAAAAGCCTTAGCTATAAGGGGAATTACAAATCAAAACTGCTTTGAGATTTTTGTCTTATCCCAGTCAGAGTGGCTAAGGTCTTTGCAAAAAATGACAACAAATTCACAGTGTCCAGGAAGTTGAAATGATCTAGATGTCCATCAGTAGATGAACTGGTATTGAAAATGTGGTATATGTAATAGTACAATATTATTCAGCCATAAGGAAAAATTAAAAATTGAAATTCACAGGTAAATGGATGGAATTGATATCCCAGACCCACAAAGACAAATATTGTGTGTTCTCTGCCATATATTGATGCTAGCTTTGATCTTTATGTGTGTTTAGATTGGAGCATATCCATAGAAGTCAGGAAACTAGTAAGGGGCCATGTGGTAGTGGGTGGATTTCAAGTGAGGTAGGGGGACAAAATGCAGGTGATATGGAGCAGGAGAGGGAAAGAGTGAAACAGAAATGGTTAAATGTGATGGGTGTTGTGGGAGATAGAAGAGAGTATGGAGAAGGAGAATTAATAGTGAAACATTTGAAAAAGTCACATGGAAAACCACTGCTAGAGAAGCTTCCTAAAAATATGTATATCATATATATTACATATATGTACATACACACACACACACACACACACACACACACACACACACACACACACACACGGAGTTCAAGGAGAATTACCCTATAATGGGGAAAACGATTCTCTCCCAGATTCCATAGGGTATCAAATAATAAAATGCTAAGTGCCAGGTATCAGACAGATACCTCTTTTTGAGTCACTGGTCAGTGATGTCCCATATTATCTCACCTACCCCAACTCAACATTACAGACTAGTAACATTGCTCTTGGTTATTCTTGAGTGTGGACATGGAGAGATAAAAACTGCTGTATTCATGCTAGCCCAGAAATGGAGAGTTAGTACTCACTAGGAAACTTCATCCTTACTGGCTAGATTTTATAGTGCTATGAAGTTCTATATACAGTACCAGAGGAGACAATTACTCGGCAGTGTTACCCAGCTGTGAACCCTGCAAGCTGCTGTAGTTACTGGGCTGGCTGCATGATCCAGTAGTGCAATAGTGGCACCAATGTCAGGGGTAAACAACCACTTTCCAGTTGGGTTTAAGGCCTGTTCCACAAGATGGAAGGCATTCTGGTACCATACACTGAGCCAAAAACACATGACTGCCTAAGTCTTAGGGAAGGGAAATATCTAATGCTATTAGGTGGACATAGAAATAACCTGTTCCCCTCTCTCACCCAGGTCATACCCTTAAACCCATAGATTAAAGTGTCCTTCTACCCCCTTTTTTTTTTTTTTTTTTTTTTTTTTTTTTGTAGTAGATGGTGATATACAGAGACTCACAGGTGGTCAGTGTGCAGATAACGAGAGTGGGACCCTCAGTTCTAAATGGGATCTCTATATCATACCTTCTCCTGCCAAGGCTCAGGATCATTATGGGAGCAGTGGTGGAAAGATTGTGAGAGTCTGAGGTAGTAGACATCTGCAGCAACGTATTACTTGGCAGGCTTGACAAGGCCTTTTTACATGTGACGTCATAGCAGCTATTACTATTATCCTAAAGAGCTATGCAAGAGCAAATCAGTCAAAATCCTGGCACGGAAGGGGGAGAGGCTCATGAATTTCCACTGTTGGCTATTGATGGCTATTGGCTTTGTGAGTGATTTCTTCATGAATGTGATCCCCGAGAGGCTTCGCACACTCCAGCAGATAGTCCTACACTCGTGCCCATGCAGTACTGTGTAGACTCAGTAGCTCTAAAAACAAAGCACACAGAGTTATAAAATGTGTATGTTTATGTCTAAGGCACACTAGATTGAATGCCATGTATTCACCACCCAGGACAAGACATAGACTGTTCCAAACTTCTAAGCAGGCTCCTTCTTTCAGTAATGGGTATACCCTGTCCTGACTCTGAAACAATAAAAAGAAAAAAATTAGAAGTTTTACGTGTGTGGGTGTTTTCTCTGCATGTATGTGTGTGCAACACATGTATGCTTGGTACCCACAGAGATCAAAAGAAGATGTCTGATCTCCTGGAACCAGAATTACAGGTGGTTGTGAGTCATATGGTTGTTTGAAATAGAACTTGTATCCTATAGAGGAACAGCCAGTAGTCTTAGCTGCTCAGCCTTCTCTCCAGCCCTATCCTGACTTACCTTCATTATTTTTTTCTTTTTTTAAATATTTCTTGTTGCCTGCCTATAAATGGTGCATAAATTGAATACTACCGTACATCATTATGTTTTGCCATCTTGTCCGATTGATGTGCAATGGTTTTGATGGCATTTGTACTGCTGTGTGATCCTCTTACTGAATACATATGAAATGTTGTGTTCTGTGTTATGGATTGTTCTTCCCGCCAGCTTGGTCCCACAACCCTGTCAGCCCCAAATGAACACTCAGAGACTTGTATTAATTATAGATCTGTTGGCCACTGACTAGGGCTTCTTATTGGCTAGCTCTGTCTTAATTATTAACCCATTTCTATTAGTCTGTGTTTTTCCACATGGTCTTATCTTACCGGAGGACTCCTGACTCAAGACCTCTCTTCCCGGACTCCCATGACTCCTCCTTCTCTGCCTACATCTTCCAGAATTCTCATCTCCTAGACTTGCCTGTCTTGCTGCCCTATAGGACAACAGTGTTTTATTCATCAACCAATAACAGAAACATATGTACAGAAGGACAACCCCATCGGTTCTGCTCTGTGGGACTGAATTTAGCATTCTTGTTAGGAATAATGTGTCTCCATGCTTTCTTGTCCATGGTTGTCATGTGTTGGCAATAGTGTCTTGGCATGTGATGTTGGCCAACTGCATGTAGGCTGACGTGTGAAGATTTATTATAATACAGCATGTTCATTTGCTTTTGGTTAGTTCTGCACTCCAGTGTCAGGCTTGACGACAATGACAGAACTTGCAATTCTGAAATACTTGACATCTCCAGGTCATACACAAGGAATGAAATTGCTATGCAAACATGGCTGAGATCCCAAAGTCCTGATCATTCAGTTTGCTTTAAAGCTCTCTTCTGGGGATAGTATGATGGCTTCTGTTAGACTTACATATGGAAGATGTGTCTTAATGACAAGTATTTATTGATTATTAATGGTGCTATAGAATTTGCTTCTTTTTGTGGGAGTTCTTACTCTGAGCATTGTTTTTGTTTTGTTTTGTGTTTGAAGACCTGTGCTAAGTTTTGAATGTGCTTTGCTTTCTTGCCTTCATAGCTTCATGCTTTTCATCAGTCCCTTCGAGACCTCAACAGTGAACAAGTTCGGCTTGGAAATGATTTCAACAGGGAGTTTTCCAGAAGAAGCCGGTAAAATGGGCACAGGGTTTTCCTGGGAGGTGTGAATTACCAAAAGAATAAATTCATTGTTGTAATTGAAATGTTTACGTAGATTAAGAAAATGATGTTTTGCTTTTATATGAGTTATTTTAAGATTTCTTTTTGTGTGTTTATATGCACATGTACATGTGTGTTCCTGTATGTGCAGGTGTGTGTGTGTGTGTGTGTGTGTGTGTGTGTGTGTGTGTGCAAATGGAGGCTGTAGGTCAAACTTGGGTATTCTTAGGAGTCATCAGACTTAATTTTTTTAAAGACTTACTTTTTTTCTATTTGTATGTGTGTATTCACGTGTGTGTGTGTGTGTGTGTGTGTGTGTGATGGGGCAGCGGGGAGTCTTTGGAGGCCAGAAGATGTCTGATCTGCCAGAGATGGAGTTGCAGGCCCTTGTGAGTGGCCTAGTCTTCTGCTAGAGCAGCGGATGCTCTTAACCACTGGACCATCTCTTCCATGTACCATATTTTTGAGATAAGAGTCTCTCACTGGGACCAATGCTCACTGATCAGGATGCCTGGCTAGCAATTTCTAGGGATTTTCCTATTATTATCTACCAAATATGTGAATGACAAACACATGTTACTATACCCAACTCTTTACATGGGAGCTAGAGAGTGAGCACAGTTCCTTAATGTTGTGGGATGAACATTTTAGCAACTGAGCTATGTCTCCAGCCTCTATTATTTATTAATAACACAATTGAAAGCCCTTTACATTTATAGTTTATCATGACTCACTGTTTTTTGCTGCAGTAAGTTCAAACTCATCTGTGAAGTATATCAAGCATAGTCTATATAACTTACCAGATTTTAGAAGAAGAAGGCAGGAAAGTTGGTAGTAAGAAAGCACTAAGGCCAGGTGTTGGTGGCACACACCTTTAATCCCAGCACTCGGGAGGCAGAGGCAGGCGGATCTCTGTGAGTTCAAGGCCAGCCTGGTCTCCAGAGCAAGTGCCAGGATAGGCTCCAAAGCTTCAGATTTCTAAGAGCGCTTTTACTTGATAGGGTACTGATATTATGGTGAGATATTAGCAAAGAAGGTGTACTTATGCATTTCAGGGAGAGAGAGGAGATAGATGAAGAGGTAGAGACTGACTAGTTTGTTAGCAGTTAAGGGAAAAAAATAGAACATGCAACTTGGCTGTGTATAGACACAAGCCATTTAGAATCTGATACCTCAGTTTACTTGCCACCTTTGAAAGACTGTGGTTAAACAGCCTGCGTTGTGTTTTTGCTGGTTTTGGAGCGGTCCCAAAAGCTGTCACCTAATATAAAAAATCCTCACTCTGTTTCATTTTCTTCATCAACAGTAGCAAGTGCTTTATTTTGAAGGTCATTTTTTTTTTTTAAAGTCACTAAGGTATTTATATTTTCTTAAGAGTTAGATTCTAGGGCTGTGGAGATGGCTCAGTGCCTACAGGCCTGATGACCTGAGTTCTATCCTCAGGACCTACATGGTGAAAGGAGAGAACCAACTCTTACAAGTTGCCTTCTGACCTCCATATGCATGCGTTTCTACCCCTAATAAATAAATAAATAAATAAATAAATAAATAAATAAATAAGTAAGAAGAAGTAAAGTCTAAATACATCAAAGGTCAGGGAGTAAGCAAAGTCAATTGAAGTTGGCATTCCGTGTTCATTTGCGTATCTCAGCTAAATTCTATCACATGTCAGTTCTGTATCGCCACAGTGAGTTCAAACTCTAGCTGTCAGCTATATAGAGTATAATCTGTACAACTTCCCTGACTTTAGAAAAGGAGGGCAGGGAAGTTAGAGATAAAAACAGGACTCTGCCATCATTACTATTATTAATACTATCTATTAATACCAAACACTATTTATCCTAAGCTGACAGTTTATTTTGCAACAACTGTGACATAGTCATTGTTTTCTTCGTTTAATGGATTTGGAAGCGGGTACAGTGAGATGAAATCAGTCTGCTCTCTGGAGATGGAAAATGAGAAACGGTGGGGGAGGGTCAGAATTGAAATCTGGGCAGTAGTAAGGCCCCAGAGCCTCTCTGCCCTTGACCACACAATACCCTGTGCTTCCATCCCTTTCACATGGAGCGATATGGATGCAGTATTTATATTACTGAATTGTGGGCTTAAGTACTGGGAAGATACAGGACCTAATGCTTATATTTCTTTTGATAAGGTGATCAAATTAACAGAGAGCATTATTTGAAGCTGGAATGATTTTACTATACAGATTTTATACATCTGGAGCAAGGGTACAAATGATGCACTGGGTACTTGAGTTTGAGGGGATATTGTTTTGGAGGTGGATCCTGGAGAAGATGCACAGATGAGTTGGTTGATTGGTTATGTGGTTCCCAGTAAGTACACCATTGTCCTGTGGCCCTTCTGACCTTGAAACCACGCCATGTGGGAAGTGCTTGTCATTTGGAGGCACAGGTGAGGCAGAGAAACTTTATTTGCCCTCAAGTAGGAATCTTATTTATTTATTTATTTGTGAGCTAAGATGACATTGAGAAGTAAAATTGAATACTTTGCCTGTACTACTAACTACATTCATGTTTCTAAACCTACTAGATAGGAAATAATTTGGTTCAGAAGTATTGGTATTCTCATTTAATTATTTACTCAGTTGTTTTCTTTTTCTTTTATGAGACAGGGTCTCACTATGTAGCTCTCTGTCTGCCCTGGAACTCACTATGCAGAGTAGCCTGGCCTTGAACTCACAGATACCCACCTGCCTCTGTCTCCCAAGTGCTGGAGTTAAAGGCGTGCCCCATCACATCTGGATTAATTTCTTGTTTTTAATTTTGGCTTTTCAAAAATATATTGAGTTATGAAAATGCAGAGAAGTAAGAATTGGACACCATATGGAAAATTGACTTGGGAGTGTATCAGAACTGATGGTGGCTTGACCAGAGAGATGACAGGAGAGTGAGGGACAGGAGTCTTCTTCAGAATGCATTATTGGAGGCCAAAGAGTCAGGATTTGGTAATGGAGTGTATATGAAGGATATATGTTAAGGGTACTCACAGACTTCTACGTGAGGAACTAATAAATAACAGTTCTGCTTTATGATATGAAAAAGATTGGTCGAGGGAGTTGAGGGGTGGAAATCAAGGGTCTTTCTTGGATATGTTGGATTTGATAGGCCTGTGAGACATTCAAGAAGAAATGTAAAATAGTCAAGCCTTATGCCAAAAGAAAAAAAAAAGTCTAGACATATGAGTTTCAAGAGTGCTTGGCATATTAAAATGCTATGGTAATGGAAGCCATAAAGAGAAAAACTATGGCGAGAGCATCAAGGACAGAGCTGAGTACCAAAGAGGTCAGATATTTAGGAGTCTTATCTAAGATGCAGACCTGGCTTGAAGGTCAGATGATGAGAATTGGGATACCCAGGAGAGAATGGGAAGCTTCAAATCAAGAGGAAGGTAAAAAGAACACGTTTTCAGGGGTTCACTTAGCTTTTAAGGTACTTCTTTCAGAGAAATCATCTAAATATAAATTACATAAATGATAGCATTATAACTAAGAGGAAGATACAAATTAGAAGATGTAGTAGATACTGTGAAACAGAGCAGTCAAAAGGTGTCTTCTCAGCTTAACAAGTTATTACAGCAATGTCGGGTGTGTGCTGGGTTAAAGTTACAGAGACAGTTGCTTTTCTGTACACCTGCAATAAGTAATTATAAGGCTAAATGAAGCAAAAGAAGACATAGTAATAGGATCCTAAGTATTCAGTGAAAATAATCCCCAAATTACAGCCACACAGCAAGCTTGCAGATTCAGCTAAGTTAGAGTAAGAAAGTAAGTGGCTTTTCAGAAGAATGTTGTCAAGGGGAAGGGACTAGATTATGTGGAGATGGATGATTCATGCAAAAAGGGGAATATCAATGGACATGATGAATACAACCAAACGATGATAAGAATTCAAAGCCCCAGAGTGACAGTGTGAGGCTGATTGAAATGTGTGTGCTAGCAGGCGAGTACAAGAGCCTCGGTCTATTAGGAGTGAAGGACACCCTGTGTGACATGCACTTCGTAAAAAATCACACAGGTATCTGGTAGAAGAGCTCACAATAGCAATAAATATTCCCCGTATTGCTGAGGAGTTAGTGAACTAGATACTTCAAAACAAGGAGTCAATGGAAAGCATTTGATTAAAAACGATGAAGGTAACAAGCTAAAGGATTATGAATTGAGAAAGTGTTTGGTTGCTAGTTGGGAGTGTATCCAAAGGGAATAGAGATGGGAGGAAGACCTGTTCTTGCAAGTATTGTTGGACTACATGAGTGCTGCGGTTTAATTTGATGCACTAATAAGGATGGAGTTTGTGTATCTCAAACAGGTTATGAGATCAGTTTTATTTCTCCTGTTTTTTTTTTTTTTTAACTCTTCGTTTGTTTCTTCCTAATTTGAAACTGAGGACAGCTGGAGGAACTTAGTGGGGTGGTGGTGCTCAAAGTTAGGACCCCAGAGCCACAGCTTCAGCATCATGTAGGAATTTGCAGAAATCAAGCCCTATGATTTACTGATTCCCAAAATTTCGTGGGTAGTGCCCCTTTGGCATGTTTTAACATGCCCTCCAGGAGAAATTCAGTTGAGAATTGTGGAATAACAATTAGTGTGTGTATGTGTGTGTGTGGGGGGGTGGTTAGCTCAGTGGTAAAGCATTTGTCTAGGAAGTGCAAGCCCCTGGGTTTGGTTCCCAGCTCAAAACAATGATGACATCAACAAAACCCACCATGCCTTAAAAAAATTTTAGCTTGAAACCTGTTTCTTTCTTTACTTAGGTCAGATGCTGAAACAAAAAGGGTTTTGGAAGAATTGACTGAAAAGATTAATGAAGTCCAGAAACAAGATGTGGTGAGGATTCTTTCTTTATAAATTTTTATTTCACATACTGTGAGTGGTGCTGCATACTTGCAGTTCCAGCGCTTAGGAGGCCCAAGCAGAGGGTCACAAGTTTGAAGCCATCAGGGGTAATGTAGGTGGTTCTAGACTAGGCTGGATGCAAAGCAAGAGACTGTTGTCCCCCTCATAAAAAAAAAAATCAAAAAACAAAACCCAACTCCTGAACCAAAATTTAGTTCCACTTGTAGATAAATGGTAGCATAGTAACCATTGGTTAGACTCTAATGATGCTAAGTAGGGTAACATTTTGAGTACAATATGTCATTTTTGTCAAAAGGTATGTCCCTGTACCTATTATAAAATGTTCTTGTATTTAATGAATTTAAGTTTGAAATCTCATACTAGTAATAGATAATGGGTAGAATTAATTTCTAAATTTTGAAATCGTGAATGTTTTATGAATATTTGAAAGGTATTTCAAAGCTGTGATCAGTGGCTCCTCTACAGTTTTTAGTAAGTATTTGGGAAGTACAGGCTGCTTGGTATGGTGGCTGTGCCCAACTCGCTGTTAGGTAACTATCTCCGTGACTCTGTAGTCAGGGTGACTGTGGGACATCCTTGTTTGCTGTGACGAGTAATCATCATTGTCCACGTGACTGGATTTAGAAGCTTCCAAAGATTGGTGAGGCACACACTGGTAAGCTTGTGAGGGCTGTTCCAGGGAGGGTTAACTGAAGGGAGAGACCTTCCCTGAATGTGGAAACACCATGTAATAGGCTGGGCCTAGACAAAATGAAAGGGGAGAAAGGAGAGAGCCAGCCAAGTTCCAGCACTCTCCTCTCTCGACTGTCATGATGTGAGCTGTTCCCTGCCACCCTTTTCCATGGTCTACTGAACCTTCTGAAAGTCGGAAAATCCTCCTACCATAAACTGCTCTGTGAGGTCTTTGGTAACAGTGACAAGAAACATATTGAATATGGAGAGGTTTTAAAATTTCCTAATGACTAAGTTTTATTGTTCATGTATTTATTTTTATCAAATCTTTATCATTGAGTCTAGTCCAGCCTGGGCTACATATTTGAAACTGGGCTACCCAGTTTCAAAACATCAGACAAAACAAATTTTTTTTAACCTCATTCTGGTTTTCTTTTTTCTTTTCTTCTTTTTTTTTTGAGAAAAATATTAATAGAAAATTTAACTAAAGTGTTAACTAACTTGTCAACTCCAAGAGCAATTTTTTCACTTCCCACGTTTTGTTTTTCCAAGAGAAGTCAATAGAATTTTTTTCTCCTAGGATATTTGATTCAAGTTTAACTTTCTCGTTTATGTAGACTATATATATTTCTTCAGTGAATTGTGTTTGTAGTTCCCCATAGACAGGTTGAGTTCATCTTGGAGTTTGAATGTAGTAGCTGTGTGTGTCAAGAGATGGATGACCTCTGTCTTCAAAGAGATGTCTAAGTGATTGCTCTAACAAAATGCACCCATCTCAAAAACAATTAATGCTATTAATTTTTTTGGGGAAGAGCCATAGGAAGAAAACAGACTTTTACCATTAAGAGTGGGTGTGTGACCAGGATGGGGGCTGCTTACCTTTTCACATGAAGTCATAGATTTTTTTCAGGTGTATCAATTTCACCATTAGTTTAAATTGTATACCAGTTTAAATTGCTTAAAGCATCAAGTACTTCAATCATCTGTCCTTTTGGGGTTGGCGAGATGACTCAGTGAGTACAAACCCTTGCCATGCAAGCTTGAGTTCCATCCTCAGAGCCCTCTTAGAACAAGCTCTGGAAGGTTGTTTTCTGACCTCCACAGGTGCACCAGGGGGCACACACCCCCCCACCCACCCACACACACACACACACACACACACACACACACACACACGCCAATAATATAATACCAACACTAGTAATAAATGAACTCTTAAAAAGAGGACCCTTTCTGATTTGAATACACTGACTTTGTAGGTAACTGAACAGTTATATGGCAAGAAAACTAAGTCGTCTGATTGACACACTAGCTGAGTGTAGACATTTATAACATGGCTTTAACACCCTCTTTAACTTACTAAATAATGATCTCGTTCTTTTTATGAATTCTAGAATGAAACCTGTCACTTGACAGGACTTCTGAAGCTTTGCCATGTTCCTTAAGGTTTTTAAAAATTATAGTTAAAATGAACATGTAGAAAGGTCCATGTGCCATTGTGTGTTTTGGTGAATTACCACAGCTAAACATCCTTCTTATACCACCCATTTCTGGAGATGGCACATTTGCAGTATCCTTAGGAAGCTCCTTACTGTTGTTTCTAGGTTCGCTGCTGTTTGGGCTTTTTTCATGCAATAAGTTTTTTTTTTTTTTTTTTAGATTTATTTATTTAATGTGCCTCGGTGTTTTGCCTGTATATACTCTGTGTGAGAGTGTTGGATCCCCTGGAACTATAGTTAACAGTTTTCAGTTGCCATGTGGTTGCTGGGAATTGAACCTGGGTCCTCTGGAAGAACAACCAGTGCTCCTAACCACTGAGCCATCTCTCCAGCCCCCTCATGCTATAAGTTAATACTTCCCATTATCCACTCTTATCTGAGTGGGATATACAGGGCATGCTTTGTCGTGTCTGACTCCTTTTGCTATTGGTTACGATTGTGCTGGTTATGGGCATTGTTTCTGTCCTTTCGCTCTTGTGCTAGTTCTGGGTATTGTTTCCAGGTGTTGCACTCTTTACTTGTTTCAGTACTGCATGGATATGTTGTCACATATTTTAGCATTCCATGATAAACCTTTGAGTTATTTCAGTTTGGGCTGGTATGGATAAATACAGCTTCCCCAGCTGTTGTTACTTTCTTGTGCATGCATTTCCTTCGGTACATACATAACACGGAGTGCATTCATTAGTTGCTTTTTAGTTTAGCAGACACCAGTAAATAGATTTCTGAGCTGGATGCACTAACTCACCTCCATGGACAGTTTGCGAATTTATGTGGCTCTTCAAGCTTCCTGGCACTCGTCAGCTCGGATTTTTAACTAGACATTATGACAGGAGTCATGTTGTCTCACTCACTATGGGTGGCTTTTGCATTTTCATGATTACTAATGATTTCCTTTTTGAATGTTTGTGGGCTGTTGGGGACTTTCATTTATGAAATACCAGTTTGTATTTTTTGCTCAATTTTCTATGGAATTCAGCTTGTCTTTGTTATTTTATGGGTCTCTTATTGAACCCAGAGTTCACCAAACCCCAGCTGATCGCTTGTCTTTCTTTCTCTTTCAGAACTTTTATTGGTTCTTTGTGGATTTCACAACATGAATTCTGATCCCACTTATTTATCCTCTTTACATCTGCCCTCTGCCCTTGCAACCTCTACCCCCACAAAAATTTAAGAGCAAAACCAAAAACCAAACAAAACAAAGAAACAAAACAAACCAACTAACAAACAACAAAATAAAGAAAGAGAAGAATCTTGTCGTGGAAGCTGTAGTGTGGCCCATTGAGGCACACAGTATACCCTTTAGTCCATTCATCTTCACTTGCAAGTGTTCATTGTCACGAGTCATTGGTCTGGCTCGCCGCTGTGTTTCTACTACACCACTGATAATGGGTTCTTACTGGGGCTCCTCTTGGATGTCCTGTTGTTGTCCTGTGTCGTGGGGATCCTGCTGTTTTGGATCTGTAGGTTTGTCCCCTTCACCTGCTCCAACAGTTCACAGATGAGGTGAATATTGGAGTAGGCCAATTCATATCCCTGGTTCTGGACCTGGGTGGTAGCTGGGCTGGTTAGCCTGCCTGCTTTCCCTCACTGTCATTACCCAGGCGAGCTCTCCAGCACTGCCATGGCTAGCTCACCCAATGCAGCCTGCAGCAAGGAGTGGAGCCAGTTCTCCTGCTCTTGGACCCTCAAATCTGGGTCACCCATGGTGTTGTGAATGTGGGTGTCCTCTTGTCTTTTTCCCCCAGGACCACACCTGGCTTTTTGTGTGGATTTTGGGGAATTAGAACTCAGGTCCCTATGCTTGATTATGTAGTAAGTGCTCTTACCCACTGACCTATCTCCCCAGTTACTACAGACAGGTTGTACTCCACATTCAGATACCGCCAGTATTCTGGTGAGCTTCTCATACCTGAGCAAACCATCATGCTGTTCTTTCTGGAATTGTTGCATACTCCCTTCTTTCTTTCTTTCTTTCTTTCTTCTTCTTCCTCCTCCTTCTCCCTCTTCTTTTTGGTTTTTCAAGACAGGGGTTCTCTGTATTGTTGTGGAGCCTGTCCTGGAACTCGCTCTGTAGACTAGGCTGGCCTTGAACTCACAGAGATCCTCCTGTCTCTGCCTCCGGCCACACTACTTTTCCTAAGTTTTACCATTTTCCATATGATGAGATACTTAAAGTGAGCAGTTATCATTTCATTTGAATTATATACATAGAGTACTAAAATTGCCAAATACTGTCTTCCATATGTTTTAGGGTTTTATTGTGTACTTAAAGTGTAAGGGTCCACTTTACAACAACAGTGACTTGAGGTCCACTGAAGTAAGTTTGAATTCTCTTGTATCATCATTGCCATTCATCAGGGAATTACTTCAGGGTCAGATATAGCTGTTGATATATATGCTATTTTATATGTATATACACATGTATAAATATGTATATGTATACACACATGTGTATATTATATACATATAAAACAACAACTGCTATATATGTATATATACATATAAAACAAAACCAATTACCCAGCCACTCAGTGTGCCCACCCAGCCATCCAGTGTATTCACCCAGCCATCCAATGTGTCCCTCCCCATTAAGGCGGTGGCTTTCTATTGATCCAGAATATTTGACATGTCTGTGTACTTTGTTGAATTATAAAAGTTGTATGTCTCTGCACTGCACTGTTAAGTGTGGTTTTCTGCTAAGCAAGGCTTGAATAAAGGCTTCTCCAACCTCACTTGGTATGCAGTCCTGATTAAAACCAGCAATCTTAATCAAAGCCTAAAACAATATTGTTGAATTTTTAGCAGACCTTCTGAAGGCCACATGATGTTTGCACAAAGCTTAATTTGGAATTTGTGACTCACTTATTCCTTTCCATGTCAACATTTACAATTTAGGACTGGCTGACATATTGTGCTGTATCTGTGAATTCAGGATAGCATGCTGTCAGAGAAGATGCAGTTTTGTTGTGAGAGTGTTAAACTTCATGGACTCTGCAGCTGTTCTCCTCTCTAGAGTTAAGTTTAAAGAGAATTACAGGTCACTGTGGGGAATTTAAATACTGAATACATATATAAGAGAAGACAAACGACAGCTGCTGACTCCCACCAGTTTCACTTTCTGTTGGTGTTCGTTGTTAATCACATTTATTGTGCATTATTCCGAGGCTGCAATTGTTTATCATGCATTTTCTCAGTAAATAAAATATATCTTGGAAGTTTATGGAACCCATTTTTCTTTGAGAGACAAAAAAAGTATTGGTTATTGTCACACATGCCAAAATATGACTTGTTCATTCTTTATGAATCATTTTTTTGGTTGTTGTTTGATTCAAACTGTGCATTGGAAAGGAATTGTTATTATTGATAGCATGAATTATGGTAATTGTTTTCTGTTAACACTTAATTTCGAAAATCCAAGTTGCATAGAGGAAATTTCAGTTCATTACTTGTCTGTATTTCACCCTATTGAGTGTGATTGGAATACATATTTTGATTATTTATGGAGAAAATTTCAATTTACTTTATTTTCTGTAGTTGGGTCCCTATTAAAACCAAAAAGATAAACATAGGTCCAGGCCAGGCGTTGGTGGCAAATGCCTTTAATGCCAGCACTCAGGAGGCAGAGGCAGGAGGATCTCTGTAAGTTTGAGGCCAGCCTAGTCTACAGAGTGAGATCCAGGACAGGCTCCAAAACAATACAGAGAAACCCTGTCTCAAAAAACCAAAAAACAAACAAACAAACAAAAAACAAACAAAAACCATAAACACAGCTCTTTCTGACAGCGGTGGTTGTTAGTGGAATTCCAAAAATTTAGTTGGTACTATATGTAGTCAGTCTAATGTGGGTGTTGCATAGATCACAACGATAGGGCAAAGAACAAAGTCTGTATTTAAATGGAATTCAAGTTTCACTCTGCTGCAGTGACAACACTATCAAAAGCCATTTAGGGAAAGAAAGGATTTCTTTTGACTTGCAGGTCATAGTTCATCATTGAGGCAAGTCAGAGCAGGAACTGGAATAGACTTTTAAGCAGAAACCTTGAAGGAATGGTTCATTCCCAGACTCCTGCTTGGCTAGCTTTTTTATGCAGCTCAGGAATGTACTGCTCACAGTGGGATGGGCCCTCTTGTATCAATAACCAGTACTATACCTCGAAGGCGATCTGATCTAGGAAATTCCTCAACAGAGGCTTTCCTCTACCATGAGGATGTGCCAAGTTGACCGTTCAAACCCTTCCCTTCTCTTTTAGACTTTTGAGGCTCATGCTGGCCTCAAATTCCTGTGTAGCCCAGGGTAGTTCTTGAACTCATGACTCCCCTATGTATTGCCTCAGCATGCACCACCAAACTTTGCTTTATATGCCTTTTTAAATGACAGGTTTACTAAGCTATAATTTATCAGAAACTTATTCTACTCTGATGTGTAATTTAGTGCTTTGTAATAAATTTACTGAGCTGTGCAAGAGTCTCACAGTTTAATTTAGAGCATTACTATCACCTTAGCAAGGTCCCCCATTCGGTCTTAAAAGGATATCTGTGTGTGTGTCTACACCAAAGTGTACATGCAAGGCAGTGGTTCTCAACCTTCCTAATTCTGTGACCCTTTAATACAGTTCCTCATGGTGTGGTGATCCCCCAACCATAAAATTATTATTATTTTTGCCTTTTCATAATTGTAATCTTGTACTGATATGAATCGTAATGTAAATATCTGTGTTTATTTGATGTAGGAGGTCAGAGGACAACTTCAGGTGTTGGTCATCCTACCTTGTTTGGGGCAGGGTCTCTTGTTTAGTGCTGTGTCTGTCAGGTTAGCTGGCCTATGAGCTTCTCAGGATTCTCTTGTCCCCACATCATCTTGCTGTCTGTCACTATGCCTGTCACTTTGCAGATCTAGGATCACATGTGCCTGCCACTCTGCATCTGCCACTCTGTAGATCTAGGAACACACATGTCTGTTACTCTGTAGACCTAGGATCACACATGTCTGTCACTCTGTAGACCTAGGATCACACATGTCTGTAACTCTGTAGACCTAGGATCACACATGTCTGTAACTCTGTAAACCTAGGATCACACATGCCTGTCACTCTGCAGATCTAGTATCACACATACCTGTCAATCTGTCGCATTATCTGAGTTCAGGTTCTCATAGTTGCATAGCAAGCACCATAACTACTGAGCCATCTCTCTAGCCCCATGAGCAGACCATTCTTGACTTTTCATGAAATACAGAACTAGTGGAAAAATGTTTAATAACAGGCCTTTATTTATTCTTTTAAATGAATGGGAAATGTCTTCTGTTCCTCAGACATATACATTGCCAGTGTAAATTATTTTATGGAGCTGTTACTGACACATATAAAATCTGTTCAAATTTGCACAACATTTTATGAAGGAAGATCTTGTGTCAAAGAGACGAATTCTTTCATGTTTCTTTTTGAGTCCTAATTATACATTTTTCAGTTTTGCCTTTAGTGTTTGATCTTTTCAACTTTTTATTTTTAGTAAATCACAGTTGAAAACCCTGGCAAGCTCATGCAGAATGCTTATGGTGATGTACTTTACACTCACAGCAGGGTCATCCAGACCGTCATACTCATGGATAAAAAAGAAAACAAATGAAAGTGATAGACAATTGAATTCAGTAATAATTGTTGGCATATTGGTATTCCACTTTGCATCACCAGAGGGCGCTCTTTTCTAGTTTGTGTATTTGAATGCTGAGCAATTACTGTGTTGTAGTTTGAAAATTTTGAACCTTCTTGGTGGGGTCTAGGATTCCTGTTGGTGGGGTCTAGCTCTGGATATTTTGAAAATGGATGATTCCTTTGTTTTGTAACTTTGAATTAACTTTTTGGCCAGGTGTCCTAAGTGGTGTCATTAGAAAGGGTTCCATTAGCAAGTCAATGCTTTAGGCACAGTGTTTCTAGGACATCATGTGTTCTCGGTTTCATCTCCTGCTCGCTCCCTAATGCCACTGTCTCTCTGTTCATATTGAGGTTTCAGATCGAGTGGAGCGGCGGCTTCAGGAAATAGAGAGAGAAATGCGCACAGAAAGAGAGCTGGTGGAAAGACGCCAGGATCAGCTGGGAGTCATGTCCTTGAAGCTTCAGGAGGTTTGTGACAAGTATTTTCTAGGGATTTAGGCTGTTATTTAGTCATAGCTAAAATGGTTGTAGTTCTGGGTGGGATGTAGTTCAACTGGCAGAGTACCACACCCAGCTGATGTGTGGTGTTGCCCACCTGTAGTCCTCATCCTTGGGAGGTGGGGTCAGGAGAATAACAAGTAGTCACAGTTCCAGAAGTTGCAGATGGCTTTGCATTTATCCCATAAGAGCAGTATAGCATCAGTTACAGTTCAGAGGTCAGAGCAAGGCATCCTACAGTTTGTGCACCCTTGGCAAGTTTTTTCGTTTTGGTTTTTAAACTCTTCTTGGTTCCAGTTTCCTCCGTAGACAATGGTACTAATAATTTCTGCCTAATCGCATGGGCGAGAGGGTAAATGAGTTAATGCTGGTGAAGCACTTCACACTGGAGTGAGCTCAGCAGTGTGAACTGAAAGTGTAATTATGCTGGTTGTTCTGCGGGTTTGGACCAGACACCAGGGAGCACCACACTATGGCTCATTTTGTAAATAAACTTTTATTGGGTCCCAACCATTCCTGCTTATTACAATACCATCCTTGAATACTTGTGAGACATAGTGGCAGATCTGAGTTGGTGTGACAGGACATGTCCTGCTCACAATATTGGCAGTCTAGACTGTACAGAAGTCTATGCCCATCTATGAATTTGTTTGTCATCAAACCAGTTCAGAAGCCAAATGTTACTCTTTACATGTTCATTCCTTTTCAGACTGAAGTTTTGGATTTATAATGTTAAAAATGAGAACAAAGAACTTTTGTGGAATTGGGTCTCCTCAATATTTATGTTTTAGCAGCCAGACTTTATCATCTTTTCTAGAACACCCAAAAGTTATAGTGTTTTATTTTGAAATAGTTTTGAGAAGGCTGCAGGTCTAATGTTGTCTCCGGGTTCTTGCTGCTGTGATGAAACACCTTGACCATAAGCCACTTGGGGAGAAAAGGGTTTGTTTCAGGTTGCTGTTCTGCATCACACTCCATCACTGAGGGATGCCAGGGCAGGAACCTGGAGCCAGGAGCTAGGAGCTGATGGAGAGGCCATGGAAAAGTATGGCTTACTGCCTTGCTTCTCCTGGTTAGCTTAGCCTGCTGTCTTATAGCACCTAGGACCACAAGTCCAGGTCTGGCACTGTCTATGATAAGCTGGGCCCTCTCACATCATCAATCAAGAAAATGCGCTACAGACTTGCCTACAGGCAAATCTTATGGAGTTTTTTTTTTTTTTTTTAAATTGAGAATTCTTCTTCCCCAATAGCTCTTAACTTGTGTCAGGTTGACAAAAACCAGCCAGGACAAATGTAAATATATTTACGTTAAAGGACCTTTATACGTAGTTTATATTGTTTAGACCCAAGGAATGCTGCAAACACAGTTTGAAGTAAAATGGGAAACTGACATCTTCCTAGAGACAGGATTAGACACTCTAATGCAGTAACTAAAATGTCTCCTTCCTCTGGCAGCAGGGCTGATTTGTCCCTCACTCCTAAGTCACCATTCACAGGTACAACCAAAACATCAAGGTATAACAACCACATAGAAGAAAATGAACTAGTCACCGTGTGTATGGCTTTGGCGTTGCAATTCAAATCATCTGTACTCAGAGGTACACTTGCAAACTGTCAGAAAGGGTCATTGCCATTGGTAAGCTGCAGCCATTTGCACCTACGTTTCATGTGCAGTGCTCTGTAAGACTGGCGTCAAGTCCCTGAAGCCAGCACTGAACCTAGTGTGTGGCAGTATGTGTTCAAGTGCTTCCTTTCTGCTTCTAGAAGGTGGCTATTTTTTCTGGCTCTGATATTGAGAACTTGGCTTCATTTGGTAGTGGCTGGTTTACGATTGCCCCTCTCGAGCCCTCTGCTCTCCTCCCACCCGTGGCACTTCTTCCGGTTCTCCCACATCCGGCCTTGCTAATGGCTTTGCTCCTCTTGCCCATGCTCCCTCCTTAGTGTAAATATTTTGTATTTAGTTTATCCCGTGCGCTTTCTTCTGTAATCGCAGGACAGTGATCGCAGCGAGGTACTCAGCACCATACAGTACTCTGACCCAACTGTAGGTCTCATTCGAGTTTTCATAGTCATGTTCTTCCTGGGTGCAGAGCAAAACCCCACAGCATTTGTTGATTTCTGCAACAGTGTTTTACGTTTACATCTGAGGTGACTTTTTGGGATGTTTTATAGGGTGCCTTTGATTTGGGGGTTTTTGGATTCTTGGCAGGGAACCCAGAAAGCTAGTATTGTGTCCTTTTCAGAGTACCACATCAGAAGTCATGGGCCAGTGACAGCTGAACACTTGACGGTGTGGTTGCCTGCCAGGCTGCAACAGTGTAGGGCCACTATTATTCATTTGAATTGTTTGTTTTATGAGGAGACTTGAAAACAACCCTGTTTTTCAAATCGTATTTTACCCACTAATTTGGGTAGCTATTGTTGATTTTCTGTGAAGCAATTATTAATGTAGGTGGTGCCAAATAGTGAGCCAAAGCGACAGCTCTGCCATTGATTCCTTCTGTATGTGTGGGATCCTGTGGCCAGGATTCTCTTTACCTGTCCTCTGTCTGTTCCTTTCTGCCTCCTTCACAGTTCCTATGTGTCCATTGGTCCATCTTAGATGAGATTCTTATTTCATTACTTTGTTTCTTCCCTATCACTGGAAATTATTTCATTGAAGTGCCTTTTCAGCATTTAATGTATCTATAAATCATAAAAATGAGAAAAGCAAAAGCAAAGAGTCAAAACAAATCAGGATTTTTTTTTAATGTCTTAAAAATACTGTTTCCTAAAAGTTTCAGATATATGTGGGTACAGATTGCTGACCTTTATCAATTGTCAACCTTTTTGAAATATTAGTAGACACTGCCAGTTCAAACCAGGAAAAAAAGATTCTGCCCTGAAAGTGTGGTGTAAGCTGAAAGCAAACATTTGCTTTGCTTAAAAAAAAAAAAATTGCATTTTTTTTTCTCCATTACTCAAAAGGAGGCATGCCCCTGTACCTGGTAATTACTCAGATGATGCTTTGATGAATAATTAGGTGGAACACGTGGGTAGTCCCCCACCCCCGATTTAATCTTGATTTTTATACATTTGTGCTGAAAGCAAATTGCATCTGGTGAGCATAAGAATAGCACTGAAGTGACAATTGTTCTTTTTTTTTTGCAGGAGAAAATTAGAGAAAATTCCCACACTTATTTTCCCCTCTTTGCAGAATGCACAAAATTGCAAAGAAAGGGGAGAGGAAGATTGCTTCCCACCCCAGTTCTCGAGAAGCCAGAGCCCGAGTGTGTGCCGTGCGCTTATCAATTGACTCAGAGCTGGAGCTGAGCTGTGGTTTGGATTGCATCTCTGACAGTACAATAGAGGATCACTGTTGATAAGAACCCTTTAATTTCGTATTTTGTCACTTTAATGTAAGCAGTGACCTATACGTTTTTAAAAGGTGCTTGTAGCTTATAAACAGAGTGTTGGAAACTGGAAAAGATTAATTTGGCTTTTTCCTGCTCCCAAGTTAAATGGCTTAGAGTGTTCCAGAAAGGTCATGTTTAAGGAGACCGCTTTGCTTTCTTTTTCATATTTGAAAATGCTTATGGAAATTCCTATACAAAATGGTAATAGGCACTGGTGTGTTTATGTCTGTCTGCCTTTGGTGGGAGTTGAAGTCACAGGTGGGTAAGAGGGCCCAGACGTTTTAGCTAGTGCACTCTTTTACATTTTTAAAATGTATATTTCAAAGAGTGGACAATTATGACTCTTAAAAGTTATTGAGAAATTAGAGACACTCACTAAAAAACATCCTAGGAGTTGGAGGTTGAAAGTCATTTTCAACTGGAGCTCCAAGGGGCAGGCCTAACACACCACATGCTTCTGGCTGGTAGATGAAGTCCAGGGACTTTCCCTTTTCATGTAGTGAAAAGCAGTGTTAACCACTGGTAATTGGTGGAAACAAAGTCAATCTCCTTTTCTTGTTTAGAGTTGGTTCCTGCCTTCTTTTTGTTGCCATAAGATCGGGGATTTCCTTTCCTGGTTGAGCACAGCCACTCCCACTGTTGCGGCACATAAATGGCAGGCTTTCTTACAGGAGTAAGGCTCTTTAGAGGCTTTGGATTCCTGTGCCAGTACAGCCGGGGTCAGTAACTCAGGACAGTCTCATTGGGATGGCTTGTCAGGTATAGTTTGTGAGGTCATCTCTCCATATATCCTTTTATGTTTGGGTGATGGTGTGAGTCACTTTTGTTGCTGTGAATAAAACCCCAAGAAACAAGGTGACTAAGAGAAGAGTTTATTTGGGCTTACGGTTTCAGAGGGGGGAGTCCCTGATGGAAGGGAAGGCATGGCAGCAGCCGCCTGAGCAAGAAGCTGAGAGATGGCTTCTACTGCAAACAGGAAGCAGAGCAAGCAAACTGGAAGTGAGGTGAGGCTTTGAGAACACCAGTTCAGCTTGGCCATGAAGGAGGCCTGGCTATAAAGTGTTGAGTCATTTCTGTTTTCCCTACTAGTGAGTTTGAGCAGGCTTTTGTATATTTGTTGGCTGTGCATTTGTAGATCTCTTGCTTACTACTTTTACTTATGTGAAATTATTGGGTTATTTGAGTTTCTTGAAAGTTTTTTTTTTTTTTTTTTTTCAATTGGAGAAAGAACCTGAGTTATTTTCTGTCACCATTAGTTGCCTAAGCATATTGCTTGAGCACTTGGTTTTTCTACTCTAATTTGAACACCATGTCTGTTACATATCAGTTTCCCACTACATCTGTCTGGTCCCTATATGTCTCATAATTTATCTGCTTGCCTATTGCTATTCTGGTGTCATTCTGTCTTAATCATCATAGCTTTCATTATGATATTGTAAATAATGAAAATGAAGATCATTATGCTCCATGAAAAACCCTGTTGGCATTTTGATCATAATTATATTAAATATGTAGACTAATTTGAATGGAAGGTCCTTTATAATGTCTTCCAATAGTATTTTACAGAAGTTGT